TGCAGGGGATTGTGGGAGTCAGCGGGTGCAGGGGATTGTGGGAGTCAGCGGGTGCAGGGGATTGTGGGAGTCAGCGGGTGCAAGGGATTATGGGAGTCAGCGGGAGTCAGCGGGTGCAGGGGATTGTGGGAGTCAGCGGGTGCAAGGGATTATGGGAGTCAGTGGGAGTTAGCGGGTGGAGAGGATTGTGGGAGTCAGCGGGTGCAGGGGATTGTGGGAGTCAGCGGGTGCAGGGGATTGTGCGTAACTGGAGTCAGTAGGGTCTGAATTTCCTCTCCGCTCTCAGTACAGCGATTCTCTGCTTGTCCTCTTCAAACTTCTTCCTCAGCTCAGCGATGTCTGAAACAGATGATTTGGTCAGACACCACACAAAGAGCTATGACATAATACGCTGCAATTCGGAGGAAAAAAATTTCAGAAATCCAATAAAAGTCGTCATTCCAAAAGAAAAAGTTCTGAGTTTATATCTCGCAATACTGAACTTACATTTGGCAATGGTGAGTTTTTTTCACTATATATAATAGAGGAAGACAGTGCCGTTCAGAGAGCAGACTCGTGCACAAACCCGAGCTACTTCACTCTCTCTCAGTCTTCACTCTGCATGAATGTGGTGTTGATCGTCTCAAGACTCACGTTCTTTCTGAGTGTTTCTGTGCTGCCACGTGTAGAAGTTCAGCAGCTCTTTGCGCTCTTTCTTCTTCTTCTCCTTCTGAAGCGTCCTCTCATTGGCCGTCTCGCTGTGTGGGCGGACCTTCACGCTGCGGCTGCCCTTCGTCACCTTCACCCAGCCCTCCTCATCCTCCTGCTGCTGCTCCGCCTCCTTGCTCTGACGCTCCGCCTCCTGGCAGGAAAGATCATGAATAATTAATGAGCTGCAGCTCTGTGAGTGTGTGTGTGTGTGTGTGTGAGAGAGACAGTGTGTGTGTATATATGTGAGAGAGAGAGAGAGTGTGCGTGTGTGTGAGAGAGTGCGTGTGTGTGTGTGAGAGAGAGTGTGTGTGTGTGTGTGTGAGTGTGTGAGAGAGCGTGTGTGTGTGTGTGTGTGTGTGTGTGAGTCACCTTCTCCTTGTAATACCTGTCATACCTTTGTCATTATACACATTTATGTCCTCATTTGTCACAAAAACGCATACACTCACTCACTCACACACACACACACACACACACACACACACACACACACACACACACACACACACACCATCATCTTCATCACAGACACACTCTCTCACACACACTCACTGTGGATGCCGGTCCTGACGCGTCTCTCGGCTGTAGAGACGATGAGCGGGTCGTTCTCTGGGTGACGTTTGGCTGCGTTCACACCGGAAGCGTGTTTGAAGACGATGTAGGCCACCCTGAAACACTACACACACACACACAATGACATTTTACTATCAGTGCGTTACTATGATAGTTTTCAGTAATATTTAGAGTTTTCATGTGTACATGTTTTGCGATCAGGTTTCAGTAATGTGTTTTTGTCCCGTTTGTTAGCTGGTGTTGTAGAGTTGAGGCTGTACAGGCGTCACCTGTCTGTGTTTGTCTGTGAAGTATCTGGACACGGCGCTGTGTTTCTGTGATTCAGACGCTCCTGGTCTCTCCTTCAGCTCCACTGACAGGACGGGGCCGAAGCGGCTGAAGAGCTCTGTCAGAACACTCTACAAACACACCATCACATGAGGACACGGGTCACTTCCCAGAGAAATCATGTGTAGTGCGTGTGTGTATAGTGTGTGTGTGTGTATAGTGTATATAGAGTGTGTGTGTGTGTGTATGTAGTGTGTGTATAGTGTACATAGAGAGTGTGTGTGTGTGTGTGTGTATAGTGTATATAGTGTGTGTGTATAGTGTATATAGAGAGTGTGTGTGTGTATAGTGTATATAGTGTGTGTATAGTGTATATAGAGCATCATCATCATCATCACAGGTGGAGGGGCGTCTCACAGGAGGATGGGCTGCTCTGACGTGATCACACTGCCACGCATGTGCAGGTTACACTTCATCGGCTGACCTGAAACACACACACACAGAGATCAGTCCATGCGTCTCTTAAGCAGTGGCGGATCAGAACGCAGCGGTGTGTCTCTCACCGTCCAGGCAGCGGTTGTTGTACTTCCTGTAAGCACTGACTGCATCCTCCTTGCGCACAAACACCACCTCAGCCACACCCAACTTCACCAGCCGCGCCCGCTTCAGCGCCCCGCACACACAGAACAGCTCCTGCACACACACACACACACACACACACACACACACACACACACACACACACACACACACACACACACACACACAGAGAGAGATGAGCGAGTGTGTGTGCGTGCTGAGCAGCAGGCCTGAACTCACCACTATATCCTCCTCCGTCACTCGAGGATGAAGGTTGTTGACCGTGATCTTTGTGCCCTCCAGAGGACTGAAGACAGGCTGACTCACACACACACACACACACACACACACACACACACACACACACACAGAGAGAGAGAGAGAGATCAGCTGTATGGTTACACCTTTAATTCCCATTCTGAATAGAGTTGAATTTAAAGGATTTACTGTGGACTGGAGTTTTCATAATGATCGATAAAGTTTTATTTACCAGTATTTTGAATGATTTGTGAATGTAATAATGAAATGTGGCTGACAGTATCTGTGTGTTTTCTGTCTCTCTGCTGTGGCCCGCAGTCAAGAGTGATTTCAGCTAAAGCCCAATCACAGCAGAGACGGCGATCTGTGTGTGTGTGTGTGTGTACCTGTGCAGGTGTGTGTGTGGGGCCGCTGGTCTGTTGCGTGGAGACGGTCGTCCTGGAGACGGGCTGCAGCGTCTGTGTGGGGGGGCGGGCGGGGGGCACTGAGACTGACGGCGGCGTGTAGGAGTCGTTCTTCACCACTTTAGTGATGGGAGTCGAGAGAGAGACAGGCCCCGCCTACAGAGAGAGAGAGAGAGAGAGAGAGAGAGAGAGAGAGAGAGAGCGAGAGAGAGTCTCTTATTTCACACTCCGCACCACTTTACATCTCTATACGAACACCTCACAATCACACACACTGAAGGCTTATATTTCCAGGACTCATGAATCACATTACAGACCGTACAGGACGGTCATGTTACCGATTAAAGACACAGGATTTTTGTTTTTAATAATGATGTGCACAGGTAAAGCATTTATAATAAACACTTCAACAGTCCATAAAAAAAATGATTAATTGTCAGTTATTCACTTTATAATTGACTGCATCACTAGTGTTGTGCTGTCAGTCCAACAAAGCAGCTCTACAGCAGATAACGCCGTGTGAGTGTGTGTAATCTTCCTGATTTATCCCAATTCCTCAGCATATCCAATAGCTCAGAACAACTTGATGATGTAACAGAAACTATGGACTCTCTCTTTTCTAGCATTTTAGATAC